GGCCAAGTATTAGGGTGACCACTGGAAGATCAGAGAGACAGAACAGGCCATAGCCACCTCACCTCGCCAGTTCCTCAGCTGGTCCTGTTTCCTCAAACTGGAAGCCTCTGAGTCCTCATCCAGAATGAATCTCAGCTGAACTGCTGCTAGAAGCCTGAAAGCTTAACCAGCCAAATGCTTAACCAGCCAAATGCTTCTAGTTCCTGGTCCTCACGCCTTATATATCTTTCTGCCTTCTATCATCACTCCCTGGGATTAAAGGCGTGTGTCACCATGCCTGGCTGTTTCCAATGTGGCCTTGAACTCACAGAGATCCCAGATGGATTTCTGCCCCTGGGATGCTAGGATTAAAGGTGTAAGTGCCACCATTTTCTAGCCTAAGTATCTAGTGGCTTTTCTGGTCTCTGACCCCAGATAAGTTTATTAGGGTACACAATATTTTGGGGAACACAATACCACCACAGAAAACATTGAAGAATGTTTTCTTCATGTCTGCTGTAGTCCTGGGGATGAGACTAGGGGTTTGGATCTGGAGGAGCTGAAGGAGAGGGGAAGATCTACACCGTGTACCTGGTTTCCTGGCAGGGATGGCCTGTGGGTTAGCAGGGGGTGCCTACTGGAGTCCGGAGCTGGGAAAGGGCAGAAGTGGGGTTGGGAAGGTTATAGTTCTCCAAGCGTGCTCCATTCCCCCACTTGCCCGTGGCTTCCCCCTTGCAGTTTTAATTGCCCAGAACATGTTTCCTTCCTCGGCCAGCCACCTCATTCCTTCTTTGTAAAGATTTACCTTTTGGCCAGTGAGAGAGATGGCCCAGTGGGTAGAGGACTTGTATGCAAGCCTGATGACCTGAATTCCTCCTCAGATTACACAAGCTGGAAGGAAAGAGTGCACTCCCAAGAGCTGTCCTCTGATCTCCACATGCCATGCCTGCCTACACACACACACACACACACACACGCACACGCACACGCACACGCACACGCACACGCACACGCACACGCACACGCACAATTTATCAGTTAACTGATTAATAATAAATACATATTTTCTGAAATATTGAATTTTATCTCCCCCTAAGAAGCCTTCTTTGTCATCCATGGTTAAAGCAAGTGCCTCCCCTCCCTCTCCCCCATAACCATCTTCTACCTTACCTCCTTCTTAATTCAACTGTCAGCTTCTCAGAAGCAGGAACATCTGTCTCTGTATGCTAAATGTACAGTGTTTAATCTGGGTTAAGTGGGTATTAGTTAAACTAAAAGCAAGTGGGCTTTATTTTTCTTTTTTCTCCTTAAGTAAGTTGATGTATCACCATTGCCCACTTGACAGTTCAATAATTGATGCATTTAGTGTGTTTTTTCCTTTTTTTTTCTTTTTTGTGCCAATTTTCTTTTTTTATTAAGAAATTTTCTATTCTTTTTGCATACCAACTGCAGATCCCTTCCCCTCCCACCACCACGCCCAGCCTGCCCTTGCCCCATCTCACTCCCTATTCCCACCTCCTCCAAGGCAAGGCCTCCCCTGCACCAAGGCTGTGTAAGGTGTCCTACCATAAGCAGTGGGCTCCAAAAAGCCCACTCATGCCCTAAGGATGGATCCTGATCCCACTGCCAGGGGGGCCCTTAAGCAGATCAAGCTGTATAACTGTCTCCCCTATGCAGGGGGCGCCTAGTCCAGTCCCATGGAGGCTCCACAGCTATTGGTCCACAGTTCATGAGTTCCCACTAGCTTGATTTGGTTGTCTCTGTAGGTTTCCCCATCATGCTTGATGCCCCTGGCTCATAGAATCCCTCTTCTCTCTCTTCGACTGGACTCCTGGAGCTCGGCCTGGTGCTTGGCTGTGGATCTCTGCATCTGTTTCCATCAGTTACTGGATGAAGGCTCTATGATGACAGTTAGGGTATTCACCAATCTGATTACATGGATAGGCCAACCAGGCACTCTCTCTGCTATCGCTAGTAGTCTAAGCTGGTGTCATCCTTGTGGATTCCTAGGAACTTCCCTAGCACCCAATTTCTCCCTCCATCATGGTATCTCTTTCATTGCTCTTCCACTCCATCCCTGTTCCTGCTTGACCATCCCATTCCCTTATGTTCTCATGCCCTATCCCCTAGCCTCCATTGCCCCCCATCACCCCTAGTCTACTCATGGAGATCTCATCCATTTTCCCTTTTCAGGGTGATCCATGCATCCTTCTTGGGGTTCTCCCTATTAGCTAGCCTCTCTGGAGCATCCATTCTTAAAGGTGATAAAGAAGAAAAAAAATCAGTACATTCCTATCGTGTGTGTGTGTGTGTGTGTGTGTGTGTAAATTATAACAAGAGAATCACGGAATTGCTGTGACTACTTCATTCACAAAGGTAATCATATATAAAGATTACATCACAGAAAGTGATATTTTACAAAAGGATAATTATCAAGAGGAAATATGGAGAAGAGCTGTGTTAGGAGTTTAATAACTAGCCAACACAGTAAAACTTCTAGACTTGGCTATTCAGTCCCATGCTTTACCAACTATTCTTCAGTGCATCGGAAATCCCACTAAAATGAAAATGAAAACAGCATTTAAAAGAACGTGGAGACACCAAGACTCTCCCCAAAATGTCAATAAAGAAATCTAACAATTATTAATTACCCTCAAAAGTGGAGTCAATGTGATAGACAGTTATAAACGAGAAGGTTCTAGTGTGTGAGTTCTGCTCTGTGTCTGCCCAGTCCCATCTCTTGAGTCTCTGACCTGTTATAGTCTGAGAAGCCTTTTTTCTTAAGCACCAGTCTTATGGAGTACCAGTCACAAGAATCCTGCAAAATACCCCTCAGTCTAGGTTTGTCTTGTTTTTCTCATGATTAAGCTAGAGGAAAATAAGACTTCCCTAAACAGAGAAATAGCATTATGTAAATAAGTCCTATTTTAGATAGCTATTTTCTGTGTAAGAGAAAACAAGCATGAAAAAATCTTCTTTATTCTTCCCATGTTCAAACCAAGTTTTACTCAAAACATGATGCAGCAGAGTTCAGTTGTACATTGTGCTTTTCATGCATATAGGGACTTTACAGAGCCCTTGTGATTTGGGGAAGTATTCTTTCCCAAGTCATATCAGCTTTGTAATTATCAGATGCCCTGGTCGCCAACACAAATGACATTGGAATGGGATCCCACACCCCCAATGACCTTCATGGTAAGCTGAACTGGGGATGCCTTTCACCTGCTTGGACTGGCATTTAAAGACATAGCAGTGACCTCTGGGAGGTCAATATGAGTGACCCCTGGAAACATCTTTGGTCAATAATAATCTGTTGAATACCCTGACATAACCAGAATACTGAAGCTCATGCTGCCTGTCACCACAAACACAAATAAGTAGAAACAAGAATTGGATCTTTAATTTTGCTTTATTTAGAGAGGTGGCAATGTGGAGAGGGGGGAGCCAATTCAAAGCCTAAGCAGAGACAAAGACATGCCTTAGATCGCACCTCTAGCCAGTATGTTATATAGGAAGGGAAGGCCACTGCAACCCATCATTCTCATGCCTAGTCTTGGACCTCTGGTCAGGCAGTCAGCCACATTTCTGGACTCATGATATCTGTGACATTTTTGTTATCATCTTCTGCACTCTTCCTTTATTCTCAGGATGTGTGAGCTCAGGCATTTCTTGAAAGCCCTAATCCAGTTAGAGGCTGCCAAAAAAAATCAAATCTTATACTCCTCCAGGGCCACCTGAGCTGGAGAATTAACTCAGAACCAGCAAGCCATTAACAGTGTGTCCATGCTAAGCTGTTAATAACATGCCCGCGCAGACTCCATTGTACAATATGAAACATAAAGTGCTCCCATCACTGATCTATAAAGGTGCCTCTGTCTATCCTCCTTTCCTCTATCACTAAAGATGTGAGCAAATGTAACACAAACTCACAGCCTCCAATACACAATCTGTTTTCCTCTTTTGCTATTTAAATCGTTAATAAAATGATCCACATAAGCTATCAAAATCAAGTGTGGTTTCAAAGGAGATTCAGTCTAAGAAGAGCTGGATTTAAATATTAATAGCATTAAATTAAGAGTTGGTGAAGGGTGAAGATGCTTATCCACTGCACTTAGCTTCTGCCATTTATAGATACTTCCATTGAGTAGCTTTTGTAATAGTGAATGAGTAGAAACCAACATAAACATTATCTTTAAATGTCACAGGGATGAGTCATCAAAAGATAAAATTGTTTGCTTATTTTGCAGCAATACAATGAGCAAATTTTTCAGGCTCTCCTGAGATAGAATAAGACCAGGATTTATGTGCTCATATCTAATTGTATATTTTGGGTGGAATTCAAGAGAATTTAAATTCAGAAGTTATTTTTATCCTCACAGTCATGAGATACTGGGACATAAAATGCTTTTGTATCAAAGTATAGTCCCGTTATTATCGATTTTCCAAAGTCTCTAAATGATTGATATTTCTACCATCAAAATGGCTTAATTCTCACTTATTCTTACTCACTTTCGATTTGGTTTACTATCAAACTCTGTTAGAGTAAGTTTTAAAAGACCACAAGAGTTAAAGAATAATCAAGACATCAAAGAAAAACACAACTGATTCTGTTACTTTGTTCTGCAGCAAAGTATAAAGTGGCTATGACTACTTCTGAGTCCCTTGACGTGGGGATAATGACACCATGGTATATAATAATGAGCACAAATGGTCCCCAAGTGGATCCCTGAACATAGGATTTTTTTTGGCCTTGTGATGATGGTATAGTATTTCTGTAGAGCCATTCTAGGGGGGGGGGGTGTTGTTGTTGTTGTGTTTTGTTTTCATTTGCAGTATAAGGAAATTGGCATTTTAAGGAAAATTCTTTCCATCTTGTAACATCTTCAATTCATTCTTCAGTCTTTTCAGATTTTCACTGTGGAGCTCTGTGATCTCCTTGGTTAGATTTTTTTCCCTATGTTTTTGTTTTGTTTTGCTGTTTGGGGTTGGTTTGTTGGCTAGTTTTAGCATAATGTGAATAGGTTGTTTGGGGGGTTGTTTTTTTTTTTTCCTGATTTTCTCAACAATTTTGATTTTAGTGTATAGAAAACTACTGATTTTTATTGTGTTGATTTTGTATTCCACCACTTTGATGAAAGTCTATCAAAACTGTGAGTTTGTGATGGAGTCTTATGGTGTTTTAAGTGCAAGAATGTGTCACCTAGAAACAGCATAAACATCAACATTTCCATGATACAGCAATTCCTGAAACATGTAAGTTTCAATAAGATGGCAAATAAGACAGTTTTCTTCCTAATAAATATAGCACATACAATACAGCAAAAACTGGCACAATAACTGATTTCCAAGAAACAGTAATGAATGGTTTCAATTATTTTCTTATTAGCAATCCATACAAATCTCTGTCATGGTTTTCTATGGCCACCATTCCAAGTTATCACAAAGCCAGCATCATAAGACACATTTTATTCTACACTTCTGTAGGGGAAGTCAGCAAAGGTCAGGCTGGTGCCAGTGAAGCTGCCTTCCTTCTTGGAATCTCCACAGGAAGCGCTGCTACTTTGCCCTTTCCAGCTTCCATAAGCTCTTAGAGTTTCCTGGCTCAGAGCCCCCTCTCTGTCTCCAAAGCCTGAAACCAGAGAGCAGGTTCTTACATCGTACTGCAAAGCCTCCACCCTCTGTCTCTCTTTTACTTCACTTTTAAGGGCCATTGTGATTAAATCCATTCTGTCTAGATGATCTAAGACAATCCCCCTGTTTTAAAGTCAGCTGGTCAGCAAATCTCAATTTGGTTTGTAACCTTTGTTCGCCTTCACTATGGAACCTAGTACAATCATCAGTTCTGAGGACTATAGTGTGGACATCTTCAGTGTCATTTATGTGCACACGTTATCCAAGACTCGTTCTGAAGTATTTAATATTAATCTATGAGCGCAAACAATATACAGAAACTCATGCATATTAGTCATCTGCTTCCTAATATTTAAAACCAAGGTTCTTGGGTATTTTGAGATGTTTTACATTATATGCTATAAAACATATGTGTTTTCATGTTATTTAATAGGCACAATAAAGAGTTATATGGTCTAAATCATTCATGTTTACCTTGGGCAGTAAGTATTATCTCTGATGTCAAACTCTTATTTGACTGCAAGGAAAAATATAGTATTAATGTGCATCTCAGTAAGTCATATAAGAGTATCCTCCCATACCCCTGTGACCTATCCTACCATTTAAACCTCTTGCATCTAGAACTTCTTGTATTTGAAAATTGACAAACATCTGGTCCATGAGCACGCAGCACTTTACAGTGATCATTTTGAAAGTGGAGCTTTGCTTCATGTGATGGGGATCTGAAGTATAAGGATGAGCTTTCCTCTACTGATGCCTGTTACATAAAGAAGTTATGGTCTAGCCTTAGGATTTGGAGCAGGCTAGAAAGTCATTATTTTCCATGTTTTCTAAATATATCTATTCTAAAAATTCTTTATTGTTACAGTGACATTTAAAGCAATTTATAAGAAGGCAAAATAAAAATGTAACTTAAATGTAAAAAAATTGATAGAAATGACATAAACCAAGCATTTCTATAGAGTATTTATGTCATAAAGTATTTTTAATATTTTTTTCTTATCTACCATAACATCTCTTTGAAGTAGACTGATAGTTCCTACATTTTTAAATGGACCAACTGAATTATAAAAGTTTTTTTCATTTTTAAAATGAAGCTATGTTACAGAAGTCTGCATAAAATTAGTCATAGAACTGAACTAAGTCTGTGACTCAGTTCATGATGGCTCTCTCCTCGCAGGCAGGCCACTCAGGTAGGCAACAATGCAGAGTTGAATTGGGTGGGTTAGATAAGCACCGTGGCGTCTTCATAAGCTGAATGCAAAGGAAATGACTCCAAGCTACCACTCAGAGAAGGAAATAAAGGAGACATGTAAGTAGAGGGGCACCTACGTCATAATTAACACCACTGTGTGTTGTTGAAGTCATTCAATAGACTGAGAAACAGCAGCTCTAACTGTGTTGTTTTAGTTCACAGTACACTATTCTGATGCCTTTTATATAGATTTGTCTTTGACATGAGTGGAAACTTTATGAGTCAGACACTGAGATAAATTGCAATACAAGGTCTTGAAGCATGCTCTACCCAAAAGGAATTCATTAAATTATTTCATTGGTTAGTGGTGTGTGTGTGTGTGTGTGTGTGTGTGTGTGTGTGTGTGTGTGCGCGCGCGCACATGTGCATGTGATAGTGATTGTAAGTGCATGAGACTTGGAGTCAGTAGATTACATCTGAAAACCTACTCAACGACTTCAGGTAAATTGATTCACCTTGTGAGTCATTATAAAACACAGTGACAGTGGTAAAAACCTACTCCAGAATTTGCAGCGAGTCAATACTTGTAAACACCCCAGCAGAATACCTGCTCTGTAGTATGCATGCAGTAAATGTTTTCAGAACTGAAATGTCAAATTTGGCAAAACATGGAAGCTATGGGCCAGGAGCTGCAGACTTGGAGAAAGAACATTTGGTTGCTTCTCAAGAATTACATGCAATGATGAAAGGAAATTTTCTTAATGACCAAACATATCTTTAAAACAAACTTTTAATTTACCCCACATACCATCTGTAACATAGCAAACAACAGAACAGAAAAAGGCAAAAATGTGGTGTGGGTTAGCCTCAGTATAAACGAGCCCACACCGAATCAGCTTTCAAACACAAGGTCACTGACTGAGAAAACTTTTGACTTGTCATGGTTCACAAAAAAAAAAAAAAAAAGGAGAAGAAGAAGAAGAACAAGAGAAGAAGTTGGCTCATCACACAGGGGATGTTCAAAGGAAGAACAGAGTGGTTTTCTTTGCTCCTAGAATGAATCATAACTGTCAGAAATGCATCACTTTATTATGTCCAGTCCATTGATTTTCCAGTGTGTTCAAGAATTTGTCTTCCAGTGTACATTCTACAGTTGTTCCAGTACATAGACAAGATGAACACATAATGGAAGATCATTAAAATGAGAAAGATAAAAATCAGTGATTGCTTTAAAGGAAAACAATGCAAACTAAATGGTCTTTATCATATTCAGGGTGATATTTATGAGAGAAAGGTAGAGCCAAGCGTTCGAAACCTTCTCTATGCAAAAGAAGCAAAATAATAACCACAGAGAAATTATTAATTTCGGAAGGAGTAATGCCAACATAAGATAATAAACTACCCCAATAAATATCCTTTTATGCATGAATATTTATACTAGCCAGCTGGTGGAAACTGAAAACGTTTAAGCAACACCTTCTTCCAGAATTCCAGTCTTCCCACTTAGGTTATCTCTACCACCAGATCTGCCAATCTGCTGGAGTCACAAATGGTGACTCAGATACGCTCGATGTGTCCTTTGCATCCTTCTGTATCTAAGGTGAACGCCACTGGCCTGGAAGACTCCCCCACTGGAATATCATCTCCCTGCCTCCCATGACCTTCTCTAGTCTCCTCGGGGGTGGAGTGTGGCTGGCAGTCCTGCTCAGAATTACTCCAGACGTAGCCAGGCAGAGTCACATGGCTGTCGATCTGTCTGCTGGCATTCTTGGTGGGTTTGCCAGAGATGAGCACCAGGCGCGTGCTTGGCCCCATCTGTGACTGGCTGCTGGTGCTGTGAGTGATGGTGGTGATCACCGAGCCGTACCTGTGGCCGCCACAAGGTGGCGTTCTTTTCCAGTCGACGGACAGATTCCACCGAGTCCACATCTTCTTCATCTCAGCCTGGACCTACAGGGCAAGAAACACGCGGTGTGTCAGAAACCATAAAGGAGCCCCATGGCCCCCTCGCCCATGTTATGACCAGCTTTGCTTAGATTTCAGTAATGAGGTTCCTCTGTGTGCCAGGGATTCTACAGATCTGTGCCTTCTGTACACCTCAAAAAGACCTTCCCCATCAATGTTACTTTTAGTATTTAAATGAGACTGAAGTGCCGCCGATACAAACAACTGCCTTATCAAAAGGAAGAAAGGGAATTCCAGGTTTGAGGGGAAATAAAAGATGAACAGTAGCAGTGGGAAGCCCAGGACTCTTCATGTGACAAGTCCATCTAAATCCTGCGTGGAAGGAGACACAAGGTCTCACACACCCTAGAGATAACCTCAGCACTCTTGAAAGTGTTAGTCTGAGAAAACTTAAAGCTGCAGGGAAACTGCTGTTCACTCTAGCCAGCGTACCTGATAAAAGTCCCCCTAGCTCCTTCCTTCAAGCATTTGCCGCAAAGGACCCACAATTATACTGACGGGCAGAACTCCTCTCTAGGGCCCAACAGTCCATTAAGAGGCCGAGGCTTCTGCTGCCCTGTTACTGGGGGAGGATGGAGCCTGAACTTAGCTGGCCCAGCCTGCTAACCGCGACCCCTGCACCCCACCTAGCTCTGTGCTCTTTCGCTTCTGACTCTAGGCTCCCAAACACCAACCTCCCAAATTCTCCATTTAAAAGGCTCTCTGCCTAAATGAGAACAGAGCTCAGCTCTTCCCTCCCACGTCTCAGGAGCTGCTGAATAAACTCTGTTCTCAGCACTGGAAGGGCTGATGTCTGACACTACCCGAGGCAGAGGAAAGCCAAGGAAGGCACTCCCGCTTGCAACACAACTGCTATATGGTCAACCCGCAGGAGCAAACAGGAGGGAGGAAAATAAGGAAGGATAGAGAAGCGGGCTCCGCAGCTGCAGTCTGAGGTTGGACTCCACACTCGCTACCAAAGTGTCCTTCCTACTGACTCTTTCCCGAAAGCACCGGGGGAAGCAAAGACCCAGGGGAAGCAAAAAGCTTGTAAATTGGTGTCGCCTGAAGCCACACACTCATCTCTTCATCTGGGGTGAGGGGCGCGGGGGAGGGGCCCTGACGTACTTAGCCCTGCTGCAAATTAAGGTAAAAATAACACAGCAGTAAATCGGGATGGTGCATTGGTAAGTTGCCACTCAAGCTCCTTATGCAGACAGAGACCGACATCCCACAGAACCCAACGTGCTCAGAAGTCTCTGGTGAGCTACTGCAGGAACAAGGAAGGTCCTTGTCCTTCTGCGGCTTGGAGCAAGTTGGAAATTTGAGAGAAAAAGGAAGGCGCCAACCCACGCAACAGCAGGGCATGCCGAGAGCTCCAGAGTCACGTGCATCATCCACGTGATCACGTACCATGTGGTTACTTCTTTCTGGTGACTCCCCAATGGACTGAGACGGTACCGTCCTCAGCTTGTCATGAAAATCTTACCTGTTTTAATGGAATTTAATTTCTTTTCATTTAAATTCATTCTAAGGAAAGTAGTTGATGTGACCAAAAGTTTCAATGTTAACCAGAATTGATTTAGAACTAAGTAAAACAAGAATCGCCCTCTTTAGGAAAGAACTCAGGGTTGTGGGATCGGTCTCTTAGGGGTGAGCTCCCCTTGCTTCTGCCTTCCATCATGGGATGATGTAGCAAGAAGGCCCTGGTCAGGTGTGGCCACCTTGACACAGATCACTCCACTTTTAGACCTGTAAGAAGCAGATCTCTACTCTTTATAAATTACTAAGTTTCTTGTGTTCTGTCATAAAGACATAATGTGGATTAAAACAAAAATTAATTTGGCATTTATCTTCAGAGGTCCCTGGTGTCTTCAGACCTACCTCTCCGTTGCAGTAACAGTAGACAATAGACACGAAGAAACCCTGCAGAGAAAAAGAGGCTGTGAGCTCTCTGGCAAGTCATGAAGACCACAGCAGGAAAAATATCCTGTATCAAAATTCACCCACTGAAAAGCTGACTTTTGACGATTTCCTCAGAAAATTACACCAATTATTTTCTCCTAATATTTCCAAGTGTTTGTGTTTATGTTGCATTTGTTTGTGACCTTCTTCCCTGGGTTTCAGCCACACCGAACAACTGTGTGAAATACTCGGAGGTCCACGAAGAACCTATTGCTTTCATTTAAGTTACCACCCAAGGATCACATAAAACTCATCCCCTGCTTGGTAAAATATGTTTATACTTCTTAAATGCTAGCAGCTACCAACATAGAATATTATATGCTAAGAGCACAAAGGACCTTTTCTTCACTCTGAAATATCCATTGAGCTTGAACACTGGGCTAAGAGTGACTCAGCATGACAGAGTGAGATACAAACAGAACAGTTCTGGAAGAGCGAGACCTGGATAAAATAGAAGCCACCAGCCACAAGAGAAAAACCAGCCAATGAGGGTCTAATGGGTAAAATCAATGTTATAGGCAATAACAGAGCAGGTGTATTGGATGGGAGACTCAGCCAAGACCCTCTCTGGGGGTGATGTGGAAGCTGGTCAGAGTGAGGAGAGCAAGACATCAACTGGATGAATGGGGGAGGGGCGCATTCAGGGAAAAGAGCTGAGTGTGACGCTCCCACACCCATTCCCACCTCGACCCCCGCCCCAGGTCCCATGAGTTCTGTGGGAGATTCAGGGAGGGTTGGAAGGCTTCAGGCCACACAGGACTGTATGTGGCAGAAAATGACACTTGAGCTTGATACTGAGTACAACAGGAAACCTTTGGATATTCTTGGCAAGGAAGTAAATTTTACCATCAAAGGTAAAATTTTCAGTTGTTCAGGCTGCTGGGAACGGAAGGTCCCTGGCCATGTGACAGAGTCTATAGCCTTATTGTGGCTGTGGGGAGTTGGCATGTTGCTGATGTAGAGCTCAGATCGTCTTGGGCTATCCTCAGTTCCCTTAAGTGCCATTCATTGCCCACCTTGTAGCAGACCTACGTCATTTTAACCATCAGGTGGGGAAAAAAAGCCTCTAGAATGTATTGATTGAGCAAACCACTAACTCCCACAAACCAAGGGCTGAGAACACTTCCAGATTCCATCTGAAATCCAGAGTGGAGAGTTTGTGTCTTTGCCGTGGCTCACCTACACGATGTCCCCACCAACATTGGATAAACACACTCACAATTCCCTTTCATTCTGTGACTAGGAAACTTGTACATAATCACTTCCGTGAGGGCAGCTTCCATCTGCGCTCTCAGGCCATGCTCACTCCTGTCTGCCTCGAGCTCTCTGTTACTCCCTCTGGAATAAATAGGTCACTCCAGTCAAGGCGAAGGGAAGGGGCCCGGTGAAGACTGGTCCACTGAGAGGTTACAGTCATCCTCTTTACATTGGGATGAAGCGGATGCTTCCTGTGTTTTCACTCTCCCCTCCCCATCACCCTTTTCCTCCTTCTGTCTTCTTTCAATCACATTTACTTTGCACACACACCAAAAAAGATGGACTCTGCCCTGCAGCAGTGCCGTGTTCTCCAGCAATGTGCCCCGTTATCATGCTACCCTGGCTTGTCCCTGCGCCAAACAGCTCCAGACCGGTTCTCTCTGGGGTCTGAGCATTAACCTGACCCCTAGAAGGGAACACAACGAGAGCCGGAAAATAGTGTCCTCTTTCTGGCCCTCGGAAGACAGGTGCCTCGAACCGGAGCGAAGGGCAGAGAAAGGGGTCGAGGGAACCAATAAACACGGGTCGCGAGCCCCGAGCCACAGCGCTGCCGGTCACCTGGAAGGAGTTGAAGAAGAGCTCACAGTACATGCGGACCTCCCACCAGAGCCCGGAGAAGGAGTGCGGCTGGCAGACGAACACGATGTAGTGCACACCGAACACCAGCACCAGGACCAGCGTGGACTTAGCCAGCTTCCTGGAAGAAAACACAGGGCTTTCTGTTAACCGACCTCAGGTGGCTTCGGGAGAAGCAGCTTGCTGCAAAATGAGTCAGGGACTCCCCGGCTGCCACTGTGCCTTACTCTGCTTCCTCTGCTTGCTTGTGTTGTTTGTGGGTGTTGTCTTTGGATCGGTTGGGGTGTGTGTGTGTGTGTATGCTCTGTGTGTGTGTGCTCTGTACTTGTGGTGTGTATGTATTTGTGGTATATGTGTTTGTGGTGTGTGTGTGTGTTTGTGGTATGTGTGTGTACTTGTGGTCTGTGGGGGGGGCTGTGTTTGTGGTGTGTGTGTATTTGTGTGTTTGTGGTGTGTGTGTATTTGTGATGTATGTGTGTTTGTGGTGTGTGTGTGTGTAGTCTGTGCATGTGGTGTATGTGGATGTGTGTTTGTGGTATATTTGTTTGTGGTGTGTGTGTTTGTGGTGTGTATGTGTTTGTGCGTGTGTGGTCTGTGTTTGTGGTGTGTGTGTATTTGTGGCATATGTGTGGTGTGTGTGTGTTTGTGGTATGTGTGTGTACTTGTGGTCTGGGGGGGCTGTGTTTGTGGTGTGTGTGTATTTGTGGTGTATGTGTGTTTGTGGTGTGTGGTGTAGTTTGTGTATGTGGATGTGTGTTTGTGGTATATTTGTTTGTGGTGTGTGTGTTTGTGGTGTGTATGTGTTTGTGTGTGTGGTCTGTGTTTGTGGTGTATGTGTGATTGTGGGATATTCACGTGTAGTTGTGGTGTGTGAGTATGTGTGTGTGTGTGAGAGAGAGAGAGAGAGATCTATGAAATGTATGCACATGAGTACACGCGCTTAGGCCCCGACACTAGCATGCAGAAACTTGAGCAGGATGTTTGGTGTCTTTTTTTTTTTTTTTTTTTTTTTTTTTGAGACAGAGTCTCTCTCGGAACCTGAAGGTCACCATTAAAGCATGGCCGACGAGCCAGTGAGCTCTCAGGACCTGCCCGTGTCTGCCCCTGATGCTGTGATTACAGGCATGTGCAACCATGCCCAGCCTTTACACGCGTGTTGGGGATTCAAACTCGGGTCCTCATGCTTACAGAGCGAGAGTCCTCCCCACTGAGTCCTCTCCCCAGGGCTGCCTCCTGTCACCTGATAGCAAGTCAGGTGGTCGGTTCTCACTTCCCGTAATCGGTATGCCCTCATCTCATGTCTGTTCTTCTTGATGATAGAATGCTGTTTTTATAGAGTCGTTAAATGGCCTTTGTTACCATCCTAAGTCATCTTTAACTTCTGTGTTAGAGGCTTAATGAAGCATTTCCTCCATCATACACCTGAGGTTCAGGGAACATCAGGGAAGCAAGGGCAGAAAATTGTCAGAACTGGAAGACCAGGAAGTCTGCTGCAAGACTGTGCCTTCCGTGTAGGACAGGGAGGCTGCGTGCGTGAAATCTCAACCATATGGCTGCCTAAAGATGACCAGAACAGTCCCAACACCAGTTGACATCCCAGCATGGATGGGGCAAATCCAATGAGGCCCCACCCCTGGATGAGGCGCTATAGGCAATTAATGGCTGCTGAGAAAGAGAAAAATCAGTCTTCCCCAGGGATGAGTCATCTGACTGGTTACCCAATACCAAGTGGTCAGCCCTAAAACCTTATGCACATGAGCAACAGTAAACTGATTCAGCAGGTTATATTTGTATATTTGTTTACTTGCAATAATAATTAAGAAATATTAATAATAATTAATAACAATAATAATTAAGGAAAAGGCTATGAATTTGAGATAGAGTGGAAGGCACATAGAAAGGAGAGGAAGGGGAGAATGACATAAATATAGTACATTTATATAAAATTTTGAATTTTAATTATTTTTTTAAATCAACTACTCTTGGGACACTTCACAATTCCTTATGAGCTACATGTGGTCAGTCCACCTTCTTATTCTGAATGTTCTGTCAAATACTCGGTTTCTAACTACCCATTGTTCTATTTAATTCTCTCCCTCTCCCCCCCCCCTCCATCTTGTTTTTTGTTTGGTAGGTAGGTTGGTTGGTTGATTGATTGGTTGGTTGCTTGCTTGCTTGCTTGGGATTTTTTTTTTTTTTTTTTTTTTTTTTTTTGAGAAAGGGTCCCACTGAATGACCTTGGCTGGCCTAGAACTCACTAAGTAGAATAGCCTGACCTCAAACTCACAGGGATCTGTTCTCTCCCCCGGCTCTGGCTCTAGCTCTGGCTCTGGCTCTGGCTCTAGAATGCTGCAATTAAAGGCATGAGCCATCCCTGCCCTGCCCTGGCCTCATCCTAACGATCTTGTATATTTGAAGCAATCCTGAGTGTTCCAATGTGATGATGTGATATTTAGCTTTGGTGTCAGTTTGCCTAAGGATGGCATAGACAACTGGTAAAGCATTATTTTGATGTGTCTGAGAAGGTATTTCCAAAGGAGATATGTGCACAGTGGCCTACCCTCAGTGTGGGCAGGCACCACCGAGCACCTGGGGCTCACTAGTTAGTATTCAGAAAGAAGACAAGCACAGGCAGGCTCCAAGAGTTCAGAGCACCAGTCAGGTACAACAGATCTGCTGCTTATCAGCAATGCTACCTTGAATGAAATGGACGAATGTGGAGTTCTAAAACTGAAGGAACTGTAGGCCAGGCAAGGGAGGATTCAGATCAGTGGATGAAAAGCCCACGGGCTAAGGGGAAACTGTGAGTGAGGGGCAGGTAGCTGCTCAAAGGGATGGTTCTGACAGAACCAGAAGGCAGGGGAAAGGTCTACATGCTTCTTCTCTTCCGCAGCTGGAACACAGTTCTCCTGCCTTCAGCCTTCCAGGCCCTGTGGGCTCTGCATCTGGGATTTACGCCTGTAGGCTGCTGTTGGGTGTCCCTCTTGAGCTCAGGGTTACACCATTTGTTCCCTTGGTTGTAAGACTTTGGACTTTGTTCAACAGAGTCCTGCATCTGTGGCTTACTGAAGGCTTGTCACAGGCCTTCTCAGACTCCAGACTCACATGATCCAGTCGACCAAGAACTGTCTCCACATACCCACTTATCTGTAACTGCCTGTCCACCATAAATCTATCTATATCTGTACACCTGTGAACATTCTGTCAGCCCTATTGACTCTGTCCTGAGAAAACCCTGTCCAGTACAGACAGACTTAGTCTAAAATGGTCCCCACTGATTCCACCTCTTGCTACTTATGTCCTTGTCCATCTTCTCCCTGAGCGTGGTCAGGTTGGGGGATTTCTTCTAGTAGATTAAGGCAATCATAGAATGCCATTTCCATAACTGTGCTGCCTAGCATTCTAACTGCCACCTTCCTGTAGTGGGACATGCTGCCATGTGGGAGCTATTCTACTGAAAGGCTCATGTGGCAAGAAACAGTAGTACTTGGACATCAGCTGACAAGCACCCAAATCTCCCAGTAGTCACACGCACTCAGATGGAGTCTCCCCCGTCCAACTTTCCCATGATGTCACCACCCTGACTGGCATTTCAGTTGCAGCCTGGTGACAGCCAAGCAGGGGAGGGGCACACAGATTCTTGACCTACAGAGAAGGAAATGGAAAGTGTGCTGCGTTAAGACACTAAGTGTGTAGCAATTCATCTGTCACCAGTACACCAAGTGTGCCATTGTCCAGTTTGGGGTTACTTTTGTTTGGTTTGCACTCTTGATCCAAGAAATTGCCAAATGTGACCTATTTCTTACTCATTTCTCAAATTTCCCCCTTTGTGAATCATTGACACACAAGAATCTTGAACAACTTAGCTTTCTATCCTTACCTCTGGTTGCATTATTTATTTATTATTTTCCCTTCTTGGAAACAAGCTGTGTGTGAATGAACCAAGATCTCACTAGTCTAATGTAGTGGGTAGCCATTCCAGCTTGGATCTGGAAGTTCCAACCCCCATTGAGACTCTGGCAACTGTCAGACCTATGAGGCGGGGCGAGGGGAGGCGCCTGGAGGAGCTGGATGGGCCAGCGCTCTCTCTGTGCGCTCTCTCTGTGCTGGGACGCTGAACAGTGAAGGTGGACTGTGCAGAGCTCTGGAGAACACTGCTGGATTGCAATACACCTTCCCCAGAACCTGCGACCTACCTTTCACTTAATTTGTGAGTTATGCCATTAAATAAATATCCTTTTAACTATGTGGAGTAGCCAAAATAATTTCTCCAATAGTCTAAGACTAAAAAGAGCTAGATTCAGAATCAAGGCTTGATGTTTTCTACCTATGGGATGCTGACTCATTTATCTAGTCTCAGAAACAGGGGAGCAGGGTCCACAAGCCTGTCATGGCTCTAATATTTCAAAGCTGTCTTGCAGTCATCACTGTCGCTAACACACGATCCATCATAGCCCGCTTTCTGGAGGGCCCACAGGTTCGCATGGAGGTGCCTAACTCAGATGTCTGGAGCTGGCTGCCTCCTTCACCGTCCACAGTGTCTCAGCAGTGTCAGAAACATCTGCTCCCTTGGCACTGTTCAGTGGCCTACCCCTCACTCAGTTTCCCCTGTAGACTACAGGCGTTTCATCCGCTGCTCTGAGTTCTCACTTGCCTTGCCTCCAGCTTCAACCTTAGAAGTCCACATTAGTCCATTCCATTCAGGAGAGCATTGCTGATAAGCAGTGGGTCTCTTGGACCTGACTAACACTCTCAGCTCTCAGAGCCTGCCTGGACTTGTCCTCCTTCTGAATGCTGAGTAGTGAGCCGAGTCCCTGTGGCTTTAAGACTAGAAAGGATGCTGTGAACACCTAGGCATTTAGTACGGTCTAGTTAGACTCAGGAATTACATTAACTACACTTGCACAGCCTTGAAACTCTTGTCTAACATCTCTCTGAAAAAAAAAATTACATCCTGTTTTTAAGATGCAGTGTAAATCCCCCTGGAGAGTGCTCTCAAAATCAAGCTAACTTTGCTCCTACTTTTGGAGCTAGGAACCAAAAACTAAGTTCAACCAAAAAAATTAAATTAGAGCAATGGATTATAAAATAGTCACAAATGCAAAAGTTTTGTCGCCATTCAGTTTAATGCAAACTAGAGCAAAATTGCATTAGGTAATGAAATCTATTTGAAATCCCGCTAGCTCTGTCCTTCGAGTTCCCTCTTCTTGTCTATGACTAAGCTGTTTTACAGTTCTGTAGGGATAAGGGATCATCTACAGAAACAGTAACTGAGTTCATCTCTAGTTTGTTGTATAACAAAGGACCACAAAGTCCCTGCCTTAAATGATATTCATTTCGTTACAATGCAGTGCTGCAAGTACAGATCAACACAGTTAGGTCTTATACTTGAGTCTCTCAAAACTGAACTCAAGGTTTCAGCTAGGGCTGGGTTCACACCTGGACCGAGGGTTCTCTTGTCAACTCATTCAGATTTCAAAAGACCTCCACTGTATTTGTAGGGTTGCCTTCTGGCTCTCAGCCAAGAGTCCCTTGGATCTTACAGGCTGCCTCTAGGTCCAAACCACAGGCTTCCAGGATGTAGTCCGTGTAATATATCCTAAGATTGACTAGCCCACTTTCTTTGTCATATAACAGAACCTGATCAAGGAGAGAGCAACAAAGTCATCACAGATCTTGCCCACATTCAAGGTCCGGGTGACAGAGCAGGTATTACACATGGCACATACAGGATAGTGAAGGCTAGAGATCCTAGGGGGCATCATAGATATCTTTCTACAATACAAGTTATTCCCAGCCACTGAAATACAAATTGTATCTAGAAGATTATAGATGCCTCTGACTGTAGCTCTGTAAGTAATAACGAGTTTTGCAGTTTGCATCCATTTATCAATTCATTCTAGCATGCATTTCCTAACTATATGTTCTCTTTTGGACCAGGTGAAATGTTTCATCACCTCCTTCATTAACTGTGGAATTAAATAAAATGTTTGAACTGTGTTCATGTTTATATATTAGCCATGATTACATCCTCATTTAGAATTTATCCTGCAGAGCATATGACTAGCAAATGTACATATAGGTCTATTCATAGCAGATTGAGCACAAGCAGCTCTGGGCATTGATGTTTATTAGTGTCCATATGGTCAGTCACACACACTCTATGGCTTTATAGCTTAGCCTTCTACAAAGATACAGATGTCTAATGAGATGATCTGGGCATGCAGATATTGATATGGGTCTTCTGGCTTGCTAGGAGTATGGTGATGATTCCAGGTACAAGAAAAATGCAAAGAAGTCAAGTATTTGCAGGACATGGTGTCCCATTTAGAAAACAGATGCCCAGTTCTCACAGTATCTAGCCCGCATCATTCTCCAGGTAAATTCACACAGAAAAATCTCTAATATCCTTTGGTAAATCATGTTTAGATTTAAAAAAAAAAAAAAAAGGACAGGCTCAGGGATCCTGTTTATCCTAAGCCTTTCTTGATCCCTCCTGGCCTTAAATGAAGCTTTCTCTCATGTCTATGCAAGTAGAGCTTTTATCTTATTTTTATTTTAAATTTATTTATTTGTAAATGGAGTTTTGTATATGCATTTCTGCGTGTACTTTCCTCACTTCAAGAAAAATATTCTAGAAGATCTCAGGCACTTTCTCTCTTTTCCTCACTTCCTCTCTCCCTCCTTCTAAGAGGGAAATGTAACAAATGAAACTGTTATCTATTTTGCACCATGCTACTATAGCATCCTGCAGTTCCCTCGTTTCTTGTAAGCAAAACCTCATATCTAACGACATATTTGACATCAGACTGAATGACAAGTTCAGTCAGAAGAAATATTCAAGTGTTCTCTTTCTTGAACTCTTTCACGCGCTATATTTTCCAAGTTCTGACAACTCCTCTTGCTTGTTAACATAAATTAGAATAAGGCACAAAAGACCAATTATTGGATATTGATTTGTTTAGTGATTTACTTAAAGCACCTGTGTCTACTGCCTATTTTCCAAGCATGACTTCACTTGCTATCTGGAACAGAATGACCTGAAGGAACAGATGAAACAGTGGGTCATTCTCTTAACAACCTGCTGACTGCCACATATGCTACTAGAAAATCTCACTTGCTTGCCCACCCCACCTTGTGGTTTTTAAGGTAGAAAATGAGAATACCAGTTGGACCTGGGATCAAAGCCTTTCTGGAACTGTCCTGGCTTTGGTCCTCAAATGACATCTCTCTTCCATTCTCCTTGGCATCAGAGTGCTTATACCAGAAAGATTCTGGCTACATTTCTGGAGGCCCCAGTGAGATCTCCTTCACCAAGACCCCAGTTAGTCCAGAGAGGCTGCTTCTCCAGGGCCTCTCAGTACACTGAAGGTCTCTGGAACTAGGAAGCATGTGCCCACAATGGAATTCTGGGGTTCTTGAAAGATTTGCCTGACACTGCACAGGAAATTACTTAAAGTTGAGGGTGTCAAGTTGTGGACAACCCCACACCCACTCCAAGGCTGTTGTGAACCATGAGAGCTGACCAAGACAAGGCTCTGAAATTGGGTGTTTTGAAACAACCTCAGGATGAATACAACAGCTTGGCTCCTACTCTGCCTCTTGATGTCCTTCCTGGTCCTGTGGATGTGCATCCATGGAGTCCTGACTCAGCCTCTCTGATCCTGTCACATAAATTAGTCTGAAGGGCAGCCTTGTTCCATGGCAAATCCAATCAATATAACTCATCAATGTAACAAATACCATCTACACCCCTGAAAGGGTTCTGCCATTGTTTGAAGCTGTAAATGTGAAGCCTGGATTGCCTCGGACAACTCAAGATGTTAGAGATGCCAGAGTTGTGGGAAAACTGATAACAGGGAGTAGAACCAGCCCAAAAGAAAGAAGTACGTTGCACTCAAAAAAGCTAAAGGAAGTTGGAGATCTGAAGGGCATTTTGACATCAAATGTGGAGATGCAGAGTTTGGAGTTCGCCCAGCTGGTTTTTGGTCTTGCTTTGGTCCAGTATTTCCTCACTATGCTCCCTTTCCTCCCTTTTGGAATGGTATTGTACATCCTTTGCCATTGTATGTTGTAAGTATGGGCTCTGCTTTTTAACTTTGATTTTATACGGGCTTACAGTTAAGAGATTGCCATGAGTCTCCAAAGAGACTTTGGATTTTTTAAACAGGGTTGAGACTGTTAAAGACTATGAGGACTTTTGAAGTTAGACTAAATGCATTTTGCATTATGTTATGGCTACAAGCCCATGGGGGCCAGGGAGTGGAATGTAGTGATTTAAATAAGAATGGCCCCCATAGACTCTTAGAGAGTGGCATTATTGGAGTAGGTGTGGCCTTGTTGGAGTAGGTGTGGCCTTGTTAGAAGAAGTATTGGAGAGTGGGCTTTGAGGTTTCAGAAGCTCAAGCCAGGCCCAGGGGCTCACTATCTCTTCCTGCTGCCTGTGGATCCAGATGTTGAACTCTCAGCTACCTCTCTACCATATCTGCCTACATACCTCCATGCTTCCCACCATGACAAAAATTGACTAAATCTCTGAAGGGTAAGTCAGCCCCAATTAAATGTTTTCCTTTAGAAGAGTTGCCATGGTCACAGTGTCTCTTCACAGCAACAGAACACTGGCAAAGACATACATTTAAGTAGTTTACTCCCAAGTTAGGACTAACACTGAGACAAGAACACAAATCTCATCTTCCCAAGTCTGCTTCAGAAGTAAGGCTTGATAATCTGGGGTTTCTGAAACAGAGCACTGAACCGAAAATACAAATAGGCAACCTACATTCAGAACTAAAAATCTACACCATTTACAAATAACATCACACCTTTTTCACTTAATGAAGAAGAAAGAAAGGTCATTTAAATCCCACCCCCCACTACGCCACCATTCTGAGCCTGTGTCTTCACTGATGGACAGTTACATGAGACAAGCTATGTTAGTACAGCATAGACCTTTGTCTATAGATTCTTGGCACAAGAACACCATAACTCATGGAACATAGTTGGAGTTGGAAGCTGCAGGTTTGTTCACATTGTGCATCCTAAGAGAGTCCCAGCCATCTCTGCAGTCTTTGCTGCTGGACAGAAAAGGCTGACTAGATGTTAGAGGAGAAGGAATCAGCAAAGAACTTGGAGAATGTTTGTGAAATAAAATCAAAATGCTGTGCATGATTCGTTCCTTCCTGTGTCTGAGACAGTACTTCATAGCCAACTGGGGCAGAAGTTGTTACCCCTCTAAGGGATAGAAAACCTAGTCCACATCTACGTGATGACTAGATATATTAGTTCAATTGGATAGAGGCCATTATTATTCAGAATTACCAAAATGACCACAGGAAGGAATGGGTACTCCCTTGAAATGAATCAATAGTGATTAGGAAGAGTCAGTTTGTCCTTTTCTTCATGAAAGACAAAGAAAAGGAAGCCCTCCAACCAGTGCACTTGAAATATTCTTAAAATTTGTATTTGGTAGGCATCAATTCACCAAAGGATTGGATGTAATGCAACAAATGCACCTGCTTGGTTCTTTTCACAAGGACATATTTTTAAATGCAGACAGTTGTCTGAGATAATCGCCAAGAGATTTTTGTGTGAATTCATATAATTTATAGAAAATTAACAACCTGCTAAGAGGCAGAAATACACAGAGAATCCAGGCACAGTAAGAAAGTTTGGGAAATTCATATCTTGACTATAGACACTTTCTTCCAACAAATCATATAAGTTGAATGAATCAAAACACACATCCATAGAGTAAAATCCCTTACATTTCAGACTAGCTGGTGTTTGTTCTTTAAACAGCAAACAGAACGTTTCCTCTGATGGGGACACCTCTGGATTACCTGTACTGCTTCCTCATGTCATGGCCAACTGCATTGGTCTCCCAAATTTTGGTAGCGAGAACTCTAACTGTATTCAGGAACAGAATAAAATTCAGCTGAAAGACAAAAGAAGGTGACATCACAAAAAAAAATTAAGCCACTCTTCAAGACATTTATAGAAATTTAGAAATTTGGACTTCTTTGTATTGAGACTAAGAATTAGCCACTCCATACATTGGAATACAGAACCTGAGATAAGACAGTAAACGCTACTGATTCTCAATTTTCCCTCATTCAAAAAAGAAAATAAAAATGAAATTTTTAACGGCATGAGAAACTAGAGATATCAAAGAATAATCTACCAGGATCCAATTTCCAAAGATCAGATGAAGCCCGTGGTAGGGCGGCAGGATAAAATTAAGTTATTGTATACGTGGGACTCTAAAAAAATGAATTAATAACTGGCTTCTGCCTCTGTGTTAAGGAGAAGGAATAATAGAATTGTTCAGAGAATAATACTCTTTCCTATGATGTGCAAAATGTACTGGGAGATGGGCGTTAAGCATATTTTATAGGCAAGATGCTGTATAAGAAAAGACTCCTGGTATAGAAAGTTGTATTGAATTTGAAAAGTAATAATTGTGGAGAACCACTGGAGAGGATTGGGTTCTGTCTTTGAAAAAGGGATATAGCAGAGAGTTGGTGTGATGAACCCTTTGTGTAAGAGGGAGGTGCTTCTGGACTAATGGTTTGTGGCCGCCATTTCTTGAACACTCTCTAAGCCCTACATGAATTTGATATATTTTTATTGAGTACAATTATTAAGGACCTAAAATTTTCCAACTCAAAGAGGTTTGACCTGGGATACCCAGCTATTATCTGGAATCTGCATATGCATAGTTCCGTGACAAAACAAAAAATTGAATTGATTCAAAATGGATCAAAGACCTCCATTTTAAGTCTGAAATTCTACTTCTAGATAAAAAACATTGGAAATGGTCTTCAAAAAAAATGGGGTCAGCAAGAACTTTCTAAGCAGAACTTTATGAGCACAAGAATCAGCCTGGAGACTCAATTGGTGTGGCTCCAGGAAACTAAAAAGTGTGTGCATAGCAAAGGAAACATTGGCATAGCACACAGGCCACAGATGAGAGAAAATATTTACAAACTACACCTCAGACACAGAGAACTGCAAAAATGAAACGCTAAGGAAATAAAACTGCCCATGATCAACAAACAGGCTAACAATAAATGCTGGAGAGGATGTGGAGGAACAGGAACGTTCATTCACTGCTGGTAGTGGGAGGTGAAAATTAATACAGCCAGTAGGGAAATAGATTTGGAGTTTTCTCAAAAAAAAAATTAAAAATAGAACTATCATATATGCCCCAGCTATTCCATGCCTGTGCATGCACCAAGAGAATTCCATACCCACCACAGATATGTCTCACTCCCCATGCTTATTGCTGCTGTATTCATTATAACAAAGAAGTGGAAGCAATCTAAATGCTGGAAGCAACATCAACAAATGAATGGATGTTGACAATCCGGTACATATAGAAAATGGAATATTATTGAGCTCTGAAGAAAAATGAAATCACAAAACTTGCAGGGAAAATCGTAGTCTTAGAATGTATAGTGTTAAGTGAGGCAGCATAATCTCAGAATGAAAAAAAAAAAAAAGCATGTTCTCCCAAATCATACATATAATGTATTCATGTATATATGTAAGCAAATGCATATGTAGGAATACTATAACATTTTAAAAGAAGAACAAGAAAGGGCAATAAAACAAAGCCAAAATGCATACTAATGAGTTCTCATAATATAATATACTTTGTATAAGTCCTTTGAACACACTCTCATGTGTAACACATTCTCAGTGCAGACTAGATCCTTAATGGGCAGTGTCCAGATGTGAGTGGTTCCATGAGGGACTGTTATCTTCCTGGGAGACCTGAATTTTAAGTTACATTTTTCACTGTTTAAATATTCCTGTAGGGAGTAGCTCTTTGCAAGCACTGCTTAACTCCTAAACCCTCTTTGTAGTGGGGGTGGACACCAAGAATCTCAGCTTCAAAATAGTAGAGTGAAAAGACTGTTGAGGAAAGGAGTCCCAAGAGCAGGCAAAAGAGTCAGAAGTACACCTGCTCCCACCATTACAAGTCTCACAAAGACAGCAAGCCGACAACCATAACATATATGCAGAGGACCTGGTGCAGACCCATGCAGGTCCTGTGCTTGCTACTTCAGTCTCTGTGAGCCATTTTTACCCTGCTTAGTTGATACAGTGGGCCATGTTCTCCTAATGTTCTCCATCCCCTCTGACCCCTACAATCTTTCCTGCCCCACTTTCTCAGAGTTGTAGTAGATAGAGCTAAGCGATATTATAGAATGGCAATAAAGAAATAGATCATCAAAACTCAAATCTTTGAGCAACCCACAGCTGGCATTTAAAAAAGAACCAAAGAACTAAAATAAGAAATCAGAGCCGGCCACTCACTGACACATTTGAATTTGTATGCTTGTTTTTCTGCAGGCTGTAGTTCATTTTCCGAGAACTCTTCAAAAATAAGCCACAGGATGAAAGAATGTGCAAGGTGGGAACCATTTAGAAGATGTTTTCCTGATGGTAATTTGACAATGCTAGTGTGGAGATCTTCACATTTAAATAACCCTGCATAAATCGATGCAGCGGAGAGAGCTTGAAGAGTTTACAGTTTACATTATACACAGTGTTAAGAATTAGAAAAATGCGGATCAGGAGCTAGTACTTCTTCAGAGTCATTTTTATTGGCCTGTCTTCACAATTTTCTAGACATTTACAGCATCATTGTGCTATGTACCGAGCTCTGTGTATTTGACATGGATGACTAATGGTGTACTTTAAGAGAAGTATGTTTAATACAAAGTTCAGATTTTCAGGGTTTTTTTTTTCCTTCTCATGAATGTTTTGTTCTACACAACTGTAAAAAGATTCCTCAAAGAATTCTGACATAGGAACAAGATGATAACTCTCATAAAATTCTTAGGAAAATCTTAAAAGATGAATTTTTAAAATGTCGTATCCATTGCTCTTTAAAATATGAAGAGGAGTTAAACAGGTATAATCTACTCTCTGTTGTTAGGTTAATAATTCATCTCTTCCCAACTATTACCACAGGAAGGTCAACCTCCAAAATCAAGAAATGGGAATGAGAAGGAAATTGGCAAAGGAGGGATTTTTTAATGAATGTCTATTTATTAAAAACAAAGAACAAGCAAATAAACAAAAAACAAAAGCAAAACAAAATAACAACAAGAAGAACCCCACAATATTTACAAACCTACAAGCAACCTATTGCATTTTTGCTTCAGACTAGGAAAAGTAGCTGCATTCTTTTGCCTAATAGAGCCCTGTCACTTGAAATAACTCATCGTCTTTAGAAAGTAAAGAAAATCTCCAAATTAGAACATTCACAGTTCATCACCCATGTAACATACTCACAAAACCCAACGAACACTTTCTAACAATGAAGTGTGGAAGTTTATATACAAAATAATATATAATTGGACATTCACATTTTTTCTTCAAATTAACAGTTTGTTTCTTAATTCCAACAGGCTTTTTTTATTCATTTTACATACCAACCACAGATTCCCTCTCATCTCTCCTTCTGCTCCCTGCCACCTTCCCCCCATCCCCAAAGGAGGGATTTATATAGATAAAATTTAGTATGTAACTTTGACAGAATTGCAAATACCAAATTGATTTTTTTCTTAGAGAAAAATCTGCCTTCCAGAAGTCTTCCTTAAATTTCTCAAAAACAACACTACAAATAAAATTCAGTCTCTAATATATATTATAGAAGCTGTCTGTGAGTTACAGACTAACAAGAAATGAACTATGCATTTTCTATTTATATTTATTATAGAATCAAATTGTAGTATTAGAATGAGGAGTTTATTACTTACTGTTTAAAAGCTCAGTAATTTATACCAATATACCTATACATTAGGTAAAAAATTCCTCATGTTCAACATATTAAGAAATAAGCCAATCTGTGGTGTGAATGGATGGGCTGCATTTAGAGGGTCTCTGAGGGGAATAAATGCATATAGCATTTGACTTTGATGCAGACAAGTGTTGCAGAAAAAGGTGAAGGTTAAGGTCAGGGGTAACCAAACAGAACCCTTCTTGGCACTGACAGCTGGGCCGGAGATGTATCTTGGGTTTATTTGCTAAGTGGACTTGTTGAAGAACCCTGTAAATAGTGGAGATTGCCCCACTGAGGGACAGGAGGCTGAGGGCCAGTGCTGTCTCTGAAGATCTGAAGATACTGTTCAGGTTGCTCAGTGCAAGTTCCCGGAACAAAGGACAGGATATCTGAAGCCAACTCCAAGTCTTATATTCACCCAGGATGAATGTTATGGGCTTCATCAGGGATGAGAAGGATGAAGGAGGAGAAGAAAAAAGTTCACATCAGTTGAGCCCCTCCTGTGGAAGGAAAACTCAGAACTGAGGGGAGGGAGGAAGGCAGCCACTCCAGAGTGTGTCCAAAGGCACAAACTGGGGTAGACAAATGAAGCTTTATCTGGAAAGAGAAGGGAGAAGAAAGAAAAGGGAGAGAAGGATGGATTCTGGAAGAAGTTTCTATTCACCCAGTGACATCCATCAATAAATTAGTTACATGTTTACAATTATATGCATTGGTTACATTTACTTTTCTTGCTACCTTTAAAAAAAAAGGTTCACTCATTAAAGGTGGGAATATACCTTTAATCGCAGGCAGAGGGAGACAGATATCTGTGAGTTTGAGGCCAGCTTGGTCTACATAGTGAGTTGCAGGACAGTATTACAAAGAGAGATGCTATCTCTCTCCATAAAAGAGGCAGCACATTGTACAGAGACATACATGAAGGCTTCACGTGATTGCCAAAGAAATCATTTAATGAATGGAATGTGTGAGATTGAGTCCCAGAAAGCAACAAAAAGCACAGGCTGCGAGTCACAAGTTGCCACAACTTTGACCTTCCTTAGAATACAACAACAGCATGGGTTATGGTTTCTCCCTTAGGTCCTTAGGTCTAACCAGCAACAAGAGCAGGGTATCTCATTTAAAAAGTGAAGGACTTT